TGTTCCTTCATGCGTATTAAAGGCAACACTGGTTTCATTCTCCTACAACCATAGACTCAGGGCTGACCATTCAAAGGGTCCCATTTTGGTGTTCAGTGTTAGGTGGCCCTTGTTCACACGTGCCAGTTGCAGCAGTTTCTTTTGCAATGTGAGAATTAAATCTCAACATCTAGAGATGCAGATAGCATCACATTCTCTTTCAAAAGTTCCAGAGCAGTCACCATAATTCAAGTAATTTGATCTTACATCAATGTCTAGCACAAATTTTAGAACAAAACTAACAGAAACCTACTGCAAAACTTCCAGAGCTAACCTTCACTGCATACAAGGGCAGCAGTGCATCATCAGGATAAAAAATTTGAGATGAGTAGGTGTTTGGTTTCACCTTTTCCTCTGATATGCAATACTGTAAAGCTTTTCAGTTCTCCTTACAGATATAGATGTTTTTTATAAAGTATGACAGAACATGTCAAGGACTGTGAAATCCCTGTATAACGTCAGGAATGTCAAAATTGGATATAGGTAGGTCTCCCGTACTATAGAAAGACTGATTCAGGACTGGGAGACTTTAAAACAAAACAAAACAAAACAAAACAAAAAACAGATGAAACATTTGTGCCTGAAATCTCTGGGTACCAAAGCCACATAAAGATATACCAGGCTTTGTCTCAACATCTTCCTTAAGAGAGAAGACCTTACCAACAGTTCACCTATTTGCATGAAAATCACACCAACTCTAGAAAACCACTGCAAAAGCACTGTATCTTGAGAACAATCCAGACGCTACATTTCCAACAGCAGTATGGCATGAAATTCCATCTTAATTATTAACTGTCACTGAAGAACATATAAAAATAAAAGAAACATCCCATTAAATCTCACCGTAGATTCATTCAGCCCTGTATTCCATCTTTGATCACAGCAATAACAACACTGACCAAGTCTGGCCATTGTAGTTTATTCCCTTCATTCCCCCTCACTATCCACAACTGTCATATAAGAGACGTTTCCTATCTGTTTATGAGCCGTTCTAAAGACAAATTTTTCTCATCCCTTTTTAAACCGGCCTCAACGACCTTCTATGACAACACATTCCAGAATATATTTGGACAGTATTCAAAAATATTTTTTTTTTCTTTACTAGTTTTATACTTAACTCTAGCCACTTTCAACAAACACCTCCTGGTACAAGAGGTTTTGGTGAACGACAGTTTCACATGCAGCTCATCAACCACCTTGAACATTTTTCAAACTTCGGTCACATCGTACCCCTATTCAGACCTCTTCTCTCCAGACTAAAGACTGCCAGTCTTTTGGTCTGACCTGATAAGGCCGCCATCTCCAAAGTTCAAGTTCTGTTATAGTTCTTTTGCTTGCTTTGCATGCAACAAACCAAGTTTTCACACAGACTCTTAAAATAGTTTCATATTTTTGCAAGCGTTTCACTAAGTGCAAATCTATTGACTCAAACATAAAAAGTCATCTTTACAAATCAAAAAAGTACAGTTCTTCAGCACAAAATAAAAAATTTCTGGTTTCTGGAATACTTGGTATAAATGGAATTTTTGAATTGCTTTCACCTGAAATTCAGAAAACCTGTTTCCTTCAAGCACAAATCAATATCAGATCTCAATTATCTTTCACCGGTACAGCTCATTTCTTTCTTTAGCTTTAAACATCTCTGCTCAGAAACCTAAGTATTCTAATGTTACCTTGCTAGGCAAAATACTGTCTGAAATTACCGTAATAAACCAATCCTACTGCAGTTATTTTTCCTCATTCAAAAAATCACTAGGCAGTACCTTCATTTATTTAGAGTGACACTTCCACTTGAGCGTTTTTCAACACTAAAAAAACAATGGCAGGACCCACCACCAAAAAGAAGTCAGAAATTCACCCGATACTGTATAACACCTCCAACTGCTGTCATTTACTAAGGAAACATTGTCCTGGTTTCAACTGGGACAGAGTTAGTTTCTCTCTTTAGCAGCTAGAAGAGCTCTGTGTTTTGGTTTTAGTCTGCGATTCCTTACAAAAGAATGTTGATGGCACACTGATGTTTATAGCTGGCACCGAGACACCAAGGACTTTTCAGCTTGCTGTGTTTTTGTCAGTGTGCAGGAGCACAACAGGCTGAGGGTGGAGCACAGCTGGGGACAAAGGGTCCACAACACCCCTTATGGTTTGAACTTAGACAGGATTGAGGGCAAATTGGCCAATGGAGTATTCCATATCATGCAGTGTCATGCCCAGTGTATAGACGAGGGCTGACTGGGAAGAAGAGTTCTCGCTCTTCTGGCAACTCTCTTCTGAGGGCTCTTGGACTCTCGGTCTCTCAGAGTTCTGTCTCTCTCTTGCACTCTTTTTGGGCCTCTCACTTGTCTGGGATTGTGGTGTCTTGATTTATCTGTTTCGGGATTGCTATTCGGGTAGGACAGGCGTTGGTCACCAGGTGGTGAGCAATTAAATTACACTGTGCATCACTTGTTTGTATATATTACTATCACTATACATATATATACTCATATATTATTAATCATTATTACTTTTAATTTTATATTATTATTATTAAATTGTTCTTGTCTCAACCTACAAGTCTCCTCCCCTTTTCCTTTTTGATTTGTTTAATTCTTTTCCCCATTCTCCAGGGGTGGGGAAGGGTGAGCAAGCAGCTGTGTGGTGTTGAGTTGCTGGCTGGGCTAAACCATGACAAATACACATTTTCAAAGGTGTGCTACTTGCTAACAAACCTTTACACAACATAATTAATGAAAAAACCCCACTTTTATTTATCTCTTTGAATTAATTAAGTTTTCCAAGCTCTTTAGACACTGGCATCATGAGATGTCTTTCC